ATCAAGTATGCTGGTTGACAATGACCTGTAAAGTATCTTTTGTTGCCTGAGTTGGAGAAGAAACTAAGGCAGTAGTTTAGTCTTTTCAACTATGTAATGTAGCGGATACTACAGCTGTTGTAGATTTTATAAAGCAAGTTTGCCAAGTTACAATAAAAGATATGAAAATATTTAAAAATGTTTTTGACAAAGTTTGGACACGCAACACAATATTAAAGAGCAAACAGAACAGCCGTCGTTTCTGACAGCTACAACGAGCAGTCCCTTAAAGAGGGAGAAAAAACGACCAAAGACTGATGGTCCAACTGAAATAGTGAAGACAGAATGTGACATTAATATTCCCAGTCAGATGGACAAGTTCTGGTCTTCCAACACAAAGATATGATCCAATTGGCTGCCAATAATTGTTGTATCAACAAAGGAAAAGACAGACTAATGACTAAGGTGGTAACTGGAACAACCACAGCAGGGAACAATGAGCCCAGGGATGCACACATACACAATTAATAACACTGAGATTATAACCTGCCCTGAACTTCACATTACTACTGAAGAAGATAATCCATTTGTTCCGTAATGTTCCATCTAGAACAAAATGCCTCACAGTGTTATTGAATGACACTGATGTTGTTGTATTTCTCCTTCGATATGTCTCAACTTTTCACCAAAGATTTGAAACAAATGTGGATGAAAGTACAGTTGTGTTGTTGGAAGCAAAATAGGAACACAGTCTTCTGCCTTAATTGCTGCATGAAACACTTTTACTTCATTTTGCAAAAGAAACCACTGTGTTAGGAAACACCCGATAAACCAGAGGAATATCTCATTAAAGTTGTACATTCATCGACCAAATGTTTGAGGTTCAATATTCAGTACTCACTCAACACCACCCACTAGAGGCTCCATCATCCTCTTTCTGCATTACATAAGAACATTTATGATACTTTCTTTTTGTTTCTCAGGATTGCTTAACACTTTCTCAAGGAGGTTTTTTTTTTTTATTTTCTTCCAAATTGTATTTAAGGTCTTTATTGTATTAATAAAATATTAAGCTTAATAATTCTTAACATTTAAATCTTTTAAATTTCTCTTCATATGTGTCAAAAAATATTTTTGGGTTTGTAAACCTTAAATTTGAATTATTTGACCATCCCAAAAACACACTATATTTAGACACCAGATAACATCTATAGGTAAAACAATAACTGAAATAAGTGAAGTTAAAATTTGACGGCAGCCATTTTTAAAGATGGCGTCTAAAAACTTCTTCCAGTCTATGGTGATGTCTACGCAAGTTTTTATACTTCTCTTGTATATGTATTAATTGGTCCCTCGGTTATATAAATCAGAACAAAAAATTTTTGCCGGATTTTATTCCAAGGATCAGGAGTACTAAGGATCTGAATGTAAATAGTCCAAAACTTGGGAGTAATGTCAGGGTTATTCTGGCGATATTATCCCTCTGGCGATAATAATGTGAAGTTTTCTTCGTATGGAAAATGTAATTAGAGCAAATGAGAGTGAGAGTTGTTGAGATGAGCGAGTGAAGTATCAGCAGGTGTAATTCCTGCCCCGTGTAAATCATTATTACTACGATACACACTTGGTCACATTAAACGTTTCCTGTAGATTCACAACTAGCGTCTTAAATGTTTCGCGGTACTTTTTTTAAATTTACTTATTTGTGTGTAGGTACAGGTATGTATGGGTTTATGTGACTTAGTGAAGACTAACTTACGATGAAGAAAACTGTATTTTACAGTTTGCCGGAAGAACTGAGAGGCTGATTTGGTGAATCACTTAAGTTAACAATAATATAGTGAAGGAAGGATGATCACTGACGGTAATTTGGAACAAAAGCAAACCAGAAATATCTTTTTGAACATCGTTTCAGTTCGTACTATTGTCAAGTCCAGGAAGCCTATATTATTATTATTACAGTGGACCCTCAACCAGCGATATTAATCCGTTCCTGAGAGCTCATCGTTAATCGAAATAATCGTTAGTCAAGTTAATTTTCCCCATAAGAAATAATGGAAATCAAATTAATCCGTGCAAGACACCCCAAAGTATTGAAAAAAAAAAAATTTTTACCACATGAAATATTAATTTTAATACACACAAACTGAAGAAGACATGCACAGTTACATGACACTTACCTTTATTGAAGATCTGGTGATGATTGATGGGATGGGAGGAGGGGAGACCGTTGATCTTGTTAGTGTTTAGAAGGGGAATCCCCTTCCATTAGCACTTGAGGTAGCAAGTCTTTTTCTGGGGTTACTTCCCTTGTTCTTTTAATGCCACTAGGACTAGCTTCAGAGTCACTGGACTTCTGTCGCACAACATATCTGTCCATAGAGGCCTGTACCTCTCGTTCCTTTATCCTAAAGTGTTTCACAACATTGTCAGTGTAATAGTCACCAGCACGGCTTGCAATAGCTGTGAGGGTGATTTTCATCAAAAAAGGTTTGCACTTTAAGCCACATTGCACACATTTCCTTAATCTTTGAAGTAGGCAACTTCTTCAATTTCTCTCTCCCCTCCTCCGAAGCAGTTTCCTCGGGTGTGGCCTCTTACTGTTGAAGATGCTCTAGCAGCTCATCAGTGGCTAGTTCGTCATTGTCCTCCTCCACCAACTCTTCCACATCCTCCCCACTAACCTCACCAATATGAGCACTAGTTCCAGGCATTTTTTCCTGTTCACCTGGGTGTTAGTCAACTGTTGTGGGTCGCATCCTGGGGGACAAGATTAAGGACCCCTAATGGAAATAAGTTAGACAGTCCTCGATGATGCACTGACTTTCTTGGGTTATCCTGGGTGGCTAACCCTCTGGAGTTAATCGTTTCTCGGTAATTGTTTCACGTTAAGCCACACCAACAACACTCTCTCCACATCTTCGAGTAATACAGCTGATGGTGGTGCAGCAACAACAACAGCTGACTGTGGTGTAGCAGCAGCTGCACCTTTGGCAAGAACAGCTTCCTTGATTGCTGTTTTCTTACCCACAATAGTAGCGATGGTTGATTGGGGTTTATTATACAACCTGACCCTCCGGGGTTAATTGTTTCTCGGTAATTGTTTCACGTTAAGCCACACCAACAACACTCTCTCCACATCTTCGAGTAATACAGCTGATGGTGGTGCAGCAACAACAACAGCTGACTGTGGTGCAGCAGCAGCTGCACCTTTGGCAAGAACAGCTTCCTTGATTGCCGTTTTCTTACCCACAATAGTAGCGATGGTTGATTGGGGTTTATTATACAACCTGACCAGCTCAGAGACACGCACTCCACTTTCATACTTAGCAATGATCTCTTTCTTCATCTCCATAGTAATTCTCACCCTTTTTGCTGTAGGGTTGGCACTAGAAGCTTTCTTGGGGCCCATGGTGACTTATTTTGCAGGTGCAATCACTACAAAGGCTGTGATAATATGAAATGTTCCAGTTGTTGTATGTTTGGAAGCGACCGCGGTGGCTGGCTGGCTTGTAAACACTGGCACCAAGGGACAAGCGAGGCGCGCTCAGGCCAAAGTGGACACGTATGGTACGGAACGAATAGCGCTGGTCGGGTTTTTAAGCGCTAGTCGAGGCAAAATTTTTGCGTTAAAATGTATCGCTAGTCAGATTTATCGTTAATCGATGTCATTGCTGGTTGAGGGTCCACTGTATTATTATTATTATTATTATATTCGAAATGAAGTGCTAAACCCCTAGGGGGGCATGGTTGTCCCGTTACTTGGTAGGCAACACTCTCCGCCTCACACAATGTGCGTCCGTGGTTCGATCTCCGACAAGGATCTGAACTTTGTTCAGACTTCTACAACATAATTGTTCTCAAAGATTTGTTAAGTTATACCATGAATTAAGTAAAGATCCTGGACTTCACATTACAAAACAGACAAAGCAAATGTGATAGTAATTATGGACAAGGTAGATTATAGTGGAAAAATGAACATGATAGGAGACAGGGGAACTGAGGCGACTCTTAAGGAAGGCTGAGATCAGAAGTGAAGTTGCAGGACGTGAGACACATGGACGTGGGACACATGATGTGAGACACATGGACGTGGGACACATGGATGTGAGACACATGGACGTGAGACACATGGATGTGTGACACATGGACTTAACAAATGGATGAGTGATACATGAACTTGTGACTCATGGATATGTGACACACGGACGCGTGACACATGGATGTGAGACACATGGATGTGAGACACATGGACGTAAGACACATGGACGTGAGACACATGGACGTGTGACACATGGACGTGGGACACATGGACGTGAGACACATGGACGTGAGACATATGGACATGTAACACATGGACCTGAGACATATGGATGTGTGACACATGGACATGAGACACATGAACATGTGACACATGGACGTGTGACACATGGATGTGGGACACATGGACGTGTGACACATGGACGTGTGACACATGGACGCAAGACATGGACGTGTGACACATGGACGTGTGACACATGGAAGGCAGTAACATCCTCACCATCATGAAGACTGGTGATACATCTCAGTACATTAACTGTATCACAACAAATTTATTTAAGATCACCTTAGAAAACTGAAATAAGAAACATTTGATATCGTTAAAATAAGTAACATTTGATATCGTTAAAATAAGAAACATTTGATATTGTTAAAATAAGGAACATTTGATATTAAAATAAACATTTGATATCATTAAAATATAGATTATAAGCTAAGGAGCAGTTTCTTCATGGGAAGAATTAAAGTGGTAGGGATCATTTTGCACCAGGGGAATGGGAGGTAATTATTTTTTCTATGCTGAAGGGGTTATATTGCGCCTGAGGAGGAGGAAGTAATCAGGTCTGATCCGAGGAAGGAGAGGATCAAAAGAGCCCTACACCAGAATTCCACAAACTCTGAAGGTGGGTAAGTCGTGAGTGAGTGAGTGAGGCGCAGGTTGGGTCTTGGGGAGGTGGTGGGAGGTGTTGTGGTCAGCTTACCCCAGCTGCGATGTTCCGTTCCTTCTCCGCAACGATACTGCAGAACTGCACAATGACGGCAATGAGATAGAGCAGAGTGGTAATGGCGGTATTGAGCAGCTCCTGAAAGAAAAATTTGTCCTTCGTATTGGCAAGAAAAACGGGACAGTGGTGAGAGGGTGAGTCCGTAAGACTGTGTGAGCGCCCCACTGCAACACTCCAGCTGCTGCTGCTTACAGTGTCAGTATTCTGCATCTTCATGCTTACCATGCATGCAGATGCAAGAGCATCTTCATGCTTACCATGCATGCAGATGCAGAAGCATGATGAAGCCTGGAATACAGCCTAAGGGAAGGGAGGTCACTAGTGCCGGGTCAGTCAGTCAGTTCCAAGACGCCTTAATATGTACTACTGGCGGGAGGAAGAAAGCAGGCGAGGAGACGGCACAGCCGCCAGAGTATACTCACCCCTGACAACAGGTAGAAGGGCTTTAGCCGTCTCGGTGGGCGCGGTTTTGTGACAGTGCTGATTATCTGCACTATGCTAGCTATAAGGTAAAGCACCGCAAAGAGAGCTGTTAGAATGAGTTCCTGCAAGCAAGAGGGAAGGGACAATTAGCACACGGTACAGCAACAGGGAATCAAATACAAGCTGAAGGTGATGGGAGGGAAGGCCACAAGCTTCCTCAACACTCAAAATTAAGCTTGTAACCTTTACAGCGTATTACAAGGTATTTGTTATGTTTAAAAATGCCATTCACATGCAAGAAATTATTATAAAATGTAATTACTGGAAAACTCACACAAAATTTGAGTAATAATTATTAGTTTTAAAGGTGTACAAGAGTAGTAATATATATATATATATATATATATTTTTTTTTTTATTATCACACCGGCCGATTCCCACCAAGGCAGGGTGGCCCGAAAAAGAAAAACTTTCACCATCATTCACTCCATCACTGTCTTGCCAGAAGGGTCCTTTACACTACAGTTTTTAAACTGCAACATTAACACCCCTCCTTCAGAGTGCAGGCACTGTACTTCCCATCTCCAGGACTCAAGTCCGGCCTGCCGGTTTCCCTGAATCCCTTCATAAATGTTACTTTGCTCACACTCCAACAGCACGTCAAGTATTAAAAACCATTTGTCTCCATTCACTCCTATCAAACACGCTCACGCATGCCTGCTGGAAGTCCAAGCCCCTCGCACACAAAACCTCCTTTACCCCCTCCCTCCAACCCTTCCTAGGCCGACCCCTACCCCGCCTTCCTTCCACTACAGACTGATACACTCTTGAAGTCATTCTGTTTCGCTCCATTCTCTCTACATGTCCGAACCACCTCAACAACCCTTCCTCATATATAAAATATATATATATATATATATATATATAATATATATATATATATATATATATATTAAAATATATATATATATATATATATATATATATATATATATATTATATATAAAATATATATGCCATTACTATTAGTTTAATAAAGTCATAAGGAGATAGCCAAAAATTTTAAGGAACTATGTAGTATTTCGATTTTCAACTTTGGTCTTCTTTCTCGGATGTCTGCTGATGAGGACCTCAGTTGGAGGAGGAAATACAGAGCTCTTCAAATTGCATGCTTCTGTCTCCTAATGGGTTTATTCAAAAAGCGACAAGTGTTCATTACACATTAGTCACTGAGTCGCCATTAATTATATTTTACGAGTATAATTTGATAAGTGTAAGGAACGCTTAGAGAATTATATTTCATCTGTTATCTGATTCCCTGTTTGGTTTCTAAATTCACTTATAAATAATAAAGTGGCTACAATCAGGGATTATCAGGATCACTCACAACATCAACTTCTAATATAATAATATTTTTTTCACTTATCAACTGATGCTATTTAAAACACATTAATTATATATATAAGTTATTTCTGTCACTGACAACAATGTTGATGCTTTCAAGGAGGGTGTCTTAGTCCTGGTGAGAGGCTCTTGATCCATGGACTTAGAGCTACAAATTCGCTTCCTTCCCCTTCCTTATTACCTCCCATTCCAGAGAATCTGAGTGACCCCCTACAGGTTTAGCGCTTTCCCATAAATATAACTTGGTATAGAGAAATTATTCTTACTACCATGATTATTTTTCTGATGTATTATATATATTGTATAATATATTGTATAATACAATACCACACCTGGCTGTCTTACACTAAAATGCAGAGTTTTCTTAGCATATTATATTCCGGGGAAGCGCTAAATCCGTATGGTCGCATAATGTCTTGGAAATGTGAGGTAATTTGTTTTTTTCAAGGTGTGTTGCTTGGCCTGAGACCAGAGTGTATACTCTGGCCTGAGACCAGAGTGTATACTCTGGCCTGAGACCAGAGTGTATACTCTGGCCAGACCAGGGTGTAAACTCTGGCCTGAGACCAGGATGTAAACTCTGGCCTGAAACCAGGGTGTAAACTCTGGCCTCAGACCAGGCCACAAAGGTCACCCTTGGAACCATGACTACTTACTAAGATATAACTGTTTGAATCAAAACATTTGGAAATATCCACTAAATGTGTTTGTCTATGCATCAGTTGGTTGGTGTAAAGTTAGTTTAGAATATCATACAGAAGCTCCACAACTTACAAACAACTTAGTTTACAAACATCAGCTCTTAAAACCAGAACTCTTGGGAACCAGTCAAGTTGTACAACCACCGAAAATCACTACCAACATCTGTGGAACATAACCAGCCTTGGAACTATATTTTTCCATATAAATTCGTTTGTAAGTTGTAACACAAGAAACACAACTTATTTGCAAAGTAAAACACCAAGAACGCAGCCTGTTCATAACTTGAAACATCAGGAACACAACTCGTTTGTAAAACGAAACTCCAGAAACGTAGTAAGTTGAAAAAGCAGGAATGCAATGTCTTAGAGCTGAATCACCGAGAATGATGACTGTTTGTAAGGTGAGAAACTCCTGTATGTCAACATGAGTTACAATAAAAATGAAATCTCGTCTGACCCTCCACCACAAAGTTAGTATCCTTTAACCAGGAAAGAAATGGATTGATTACTTATAGAGGAAAAGCTACAGTCATTATTAAATATATGCCTCTTACTGGAAATAAAATCCATCTACCTTTCTGTTTATTCATCAATTGTCGTTCATTACCACTAAAATTGAGCTCATATATATACAGTGGACCCCCGGTTAACGATATTTTTTCACTCCAGAAGTATGTTCAGGTGCCAGTACTGACCGAATTTGTTCCCATAAGAAATATTGTGAAGTAGATTAGTCCATTCCATTCCCCCAAACATACACGTACAAACGCACTTACATAAATACACTTACATAATTGGTCGCATTCGGAGGTGATCGTTATGCGGGGGTCCACTGTATATATATATATATATATATATATATATATATATATTATATATATATATATATATATAAACACACACACACACACTGAAAACCACTCCTCACTTAGCGCCATACTCGTTTACTGACGCCTCGAACTTACAATGAGCTCTCTGACCAGTATTCACACCTAAATAATATACAGTGGACCCCCGGTTAACGATATTTTTTCATTCCAGAAGTATGTTCAGGTGCCAGTACTGACCAAATTTGTTCCCATAAGGAATATTGTGAAGTAGATTAGTCCATTTCAGACCCCCAAACATACATGTACAAACGCACTTACATAAATACACTAACATAATTGGTCGCATTGGGAGGTGATCGTTAAGCGGGGATCCACTGTATATTAGAGAGGAGTTGCTCTATTCTGTTTATTTCAATATACAGTACACTACTGTATAAACATTTAAAAATATACCAGAAATGTTATAAATGGTTTAAAGGTGACATTAAAATAATATCAAAGATGGTTGACACAAACTCGCTACCATTATAGTATGCTCCTCACTTAGTGACGAATTCGTTTAAAGACGTGGTCTTAGGAATGGGACCCCATCGTTAAGTGAGGAGAGGCTGTATATATGTCAACTGGTCAATTAGCAAGAACTCATTTAAAATTAAGTCCTTTCTGAAATTTTCTCTTATACGTTTCAAGATATATTTTTTCATTAATGCTAATGTAAAAATTTTTAAATTTGCACCAAAAGAATCTTAGAAAACCTACGTAACCTTATTATAACAAGAGCAATTTATTTTAGCCTAACCCCACTAAATATATTTTAAATACGTTTACAATAATTTAGTACTAAACAAACAAAATCAAATATATTTTTTTCGTTAGGTTCAGAAGGATTTTGGCGAAATTATTGCATACACAAATTTTCACTTGTCCTATATGGCAAGATGAGCATTGCTATTTAAGCCAAGATCGCAAGTTCTGCCTATTCGGCATGACATATATATATATATATATATATATATATATATAATATATATATATTTATATATATAATAATATATATATATATATATATATATATATATGCAATAAGATCACAGTAAACAAGTGATTTCAAAATATGCAAAACAACCACTCAGAAAGAATAGAGAAATTCCAAGCGCTTTCGTGACTACTCACATTATCAAGGAACTATGAAAGTGAAGCATCCAAGGAAGCTATATAAGGGGTCGGCCAGCACCTCACTATCAGATCCCACAACGGTTAAACACGTGACGCGCGGACGAGCCAACTTGGATAGGTCCTTTGCAAAACTCACCCCCAAACTATTCTACCCAAGAAAATTTAAAAATTATTTGTCCAGTGTATTATTAAATTCTTCCCAAATTCTATTAATTATAAATGGATCTAATTTATATAAACCAAAGGAAATATTCATATTATTGTCAAAACTGCTTTTTATGAAACAAGATTCAATTATATTCCTGTCGACCATGGACTTGCTAGATACTACTTTCTCAACTTTTTGAAAATCAATTGGATGGTTAAAATCTCTTACATGAATAAATAGAGCATTGGAATCTTGTCCGGTTCTAATGCTATATTTATGTTGTTTTAATCTTAGTTTGAGATTTTTACCAGTTTGACCGTAATAAACTTTATCGCAAATTTTACAAGGAATCTTATAGACACATCCATCAGCATTTTGGGGGGAATTCTTCATCAA